CTTCTCTTCTCTTCTCTTCTCTTCTCTTCTCTTCTCTTCTCTTCTCTTCTCTTCTCTTCTCTTCTCTTCTCTTCTCTTCTCTCTCAAGAAAACTCTCAACCTTCCTACCTTCCCTTGAAGTTTGGGGTTTCAGAATCTTCTGCCCTTTTTGTCTCTCTTCTCTTAAGGTTCTTGAGTTGGTTCTGAACTATCCTGGACTGTAGACCTGAAAACTGAGCAGACTGTTACAGTTTCAATAAAAACAGATGGATAGATTTAAATTATTTTTTATTATCTTACTTGTGCTACTCCTATTTATGGATTCCAGTATCAGCATAACGCAAGGTAGCCTAGCACTGCTGGTGATCTATAGAACTGCTTCTTTTATCTTGCTGCATACTTGTGCAGTTGATTATCCTTTGGATGTGTAAAACCTTCTGTTTCTCCTTGTTCGGTGTCATTTCAGTTGCTCCAGTCTGGCAAGATCCCTCTGAATTGTAATTTTGTGCTCCAACATAGTTGGAGCCTCTTCCTATAGATACAATCTCCAAATATAAGTGTATTCTCTTCAGTCATCAGTGACGTTGACAAAGGTCCTGGATAGTTCTGGATCCAAGATGTACCTCAATGAAATCCTGTTCAATGTATCCTTTCAGCTTTGGAGTACTAATTATTTCCAAATAATTTTGTATTTATATTGCCTAGACTGTTCGTTTGGGTTTTTTTTTTTTTTAAGAGCACATTGTAAGAAATTCTTAGGATCCTCAGTCTTTCTCCCCCATCCATAAAGCCTATTAAAACTTCTTTATTTAGTAGAAATTCACTTGAGCAGTTTGTATAGGTATTTGCTTCCCTCCTTTGAGAGAGATGCAATCCCTTTTGGGTTTTCTGGAACCTCATTCTGTTGATTCTTGGAGATAATCAGTAGAAATTTTAACATAGTTTGAACCATAAGGGAGTTTCACCAGATCCAGTCTGTCCAAAAATCTTTAACTTGTCTATATATTTTCCAGTTTATTTGTTCCTTTTTCTAGCCTTAGACTTTTGTCAGTGGTGCTAGAGTGAAATCACATTTGCGTTCTAAAATTGAAGGCTGAGGTTGAAAGTATCAGCATCACCAGTGATGATTACATAGAGCTTCCCCTCTGTGGAATAACAGACCAATTTTTGTCTTAGTATTCTCACCATGCATCTTATCAACAGGCTTGCTGTCTTTAAAATCCAATTTCCTAACTTTTTAGGAGCTTATCTTTCAGGTTTTGTCCATACATAATCTATATATTCATTAATAATTTAGTAATTTGACCTACTTACTATTTTATTTCAGGTCATTGAAGATCTCATGATTCATCCAACTTAATCTTTATCTCACTTCCTTCTCCTCCTCTGTATAGATCAAATTCTGCAGTTTTGCCTTTCAGCAGTAGATCTGTCATGAACTTTCAGATGTCCTGAACTCACAGTTTGTCTACAAGTTCTCTAGGTTTAAGCCTGCATGTAATTCCTCCTTCTTTTTCTAACAATGCAAATAGATTAAAAACGGTCAGATTAATTGATAATTTTGATTTCTTCTCTTTATAGCTAATGAGAATTTCAAGTAAGGAATTCCTTCTATACATTTTTCCTTCATGCAGAGTTTGCTACTACTTGTGCTTAGGTATGGTCCAGTCCCACCTGAGGGAGATGCAGATACTCAGGTTCCCATGGCAGTTTTTGCAGGATGCTAACTCCTGCTGGCTAATGCTTCACCTAACATTCCATGAGCACCACAAGTGCTCTCCTTTTCACATCTCGTGGAGCAAAACAAATGCCTTTTTCCAAACATACTCATTGTAGATTACAGTAGTGTGCCAGTGGGAAATAAACACCTCTCACTAGAAAGGGCCAACAAAGGTTCAGGTTGGACGTCAGGAAAAATTTCTTCATGGAAAGAGTTGTTCAGCATTGGAAAAGGCTGCCCAGGGAGAAGGTAGAGACACCATCCCTGGAAGTATTCCAGAAATAACTGGATGTGGCACTCAGTGCTGTGGCCTGGTTGACAAGGTGGTGTTTAGTCAAAGGTTGTGCTCGATGATCTTGCTGATCTGTTCCAACTTAAATAATTTTTTTAATTCTGAGATTCAGAGAAAGAAATTTAGGATCTGATTCTGAAATGATCAGTGCATCTTCTGTTATATCCCACTGGATTTGTAAATATTAGGAAAATAGGATCTTTGGTATTAAAAACATATAGGAAGAGGGAATGCAAATTAGTAGTGCTTTTTTTAAAGAAATACAAAATATTGTGGCTTCCCATGAAACTTACTGTATAAAGCTCAGTTTTATTTGATGTATGCACACAACACTGTAAAGTATGTTACCAGACTTAAATTTGTTGTAAACAGTTCCTTTTCAGATATTAGCACATATATGAACTAGGGGTGATCTGAAATGCTTTGAAAAGAATGTTATTGGCAGTGGAATACATATATACTGCAGATTTTACAGACTACTGCATAAATGTGTTTTGAAATCAATGTGTAAGTCAATTCAAAATGTATTTAAGAAGAATTCCAGGAATTATTCTGAGCCCTTTTGCCACTGCTTATGGTTTTATGGCAAGAATTTTCTGTTGATTCATAAAGATTGCCCCTGAACACCACCTGAAAGGCACATGGACAAAATCTAAGACGTTGTGAAACTGAGGCCCTGGCCCTAGGGTGGATTTGCTCTTCAGGTCTGGTGGCTTCATTAGCATTTTACACTAGAAGGAGATTAGTAAGAGATCACACCAAGGCATTGCTAGACATCAGGGAAATTATCTCTAAATTGTTAATTATACATAAGGTGCAGTTAAAACAAGAAATTTCTGTTATATGCTGGTGATTTGAATGCCATTTACGTACTATTAGAATATATTCCAAGGAGTGGAGCTGGAGTACAGTTAGGTCACAAAACAAAGTGACTCGAGGAGCAAGAGCAAGACATTTAAATACTAGTGAGCATTATGAACTCTGTCTGGAGACATCTGAATGAAATTTAGATAGTATCTAGAAGTTACGTTTTTTTAAAATGCACATTGTTCCAGTAAAATGGTTAAGAGTGGGCTGGGTTTTTACTGGTTGGAGAGAACAGAAACATGGTTATGGGAAGGCAGATTTAAAGGCCATAGGACAGGTAGTACGGAAGAATGAAAAAATGCTTCAAGAAAAATCAACAGTAACTATTTCTGTGTGAAAGATGCTTTTCTTCCCAGACAGCAGAAGTGCATGATGCCTGAGAGAAACATATGCTGTGAGATGGTATCTCTCCTGGAATTAATGGTACCCAAGATAGTGTTTAAGAACAATTCCTGACAGACTAGTGCTTCAAGTCCTGTTGAATCTCAGTCTGATCTGATCTGCTTTGCTTTACGTACT